ATTTCTAAAAGGTTGGAGTCGTAGAGTCGGGAATAAAAGTCAGATTTAAAAATCTTGTTCAAATAAGGATTCAAGCTTTAAACATTAATTTTTTTAGAGTAATCTTAATTTTTTTAAAGTAATTAGGTTTGAGGGCCTGACCTTAATAAACCCTGTAAAAAAAAGCTCAAGCCCAGACAACCCTTCATGCCCTGATAATTTGGGTTATCTCTCTCTCTCTCTCTCTCTCTCTCTCTCACACACACACACACACACTTACTTTTGACTAATAATGATACAATTTGATTAATATTTATTATAAGTGATGAAGAAGAAGTTTCAGAAATAATTTACATTTGATCTTCACTTTCATCTTCAATAAGTGGACCTACATTTAAGAGATTTAATATTTTATTTTTAGATGATGATGAGAAAAATTTAAATTTATATTAATGAATAATTTAATCTTCATCTTGAATTTAAAATTTTACATCTTTGTTGAATTTTATGTGAGATTTAATTTGTTTTATGTTGAATTTTAGAATATTTTATTTAAATTAAAATGTTAGATTGTTTAAAAAAAAAGGCTTAAAAACTTGACCTTAAACCTTATAAATAAGGGCCGGATTTTAGAATTAAATTAAATTTTAAATAATCAAGTTTTAAAGCTTAAGTCTTTAAAGATCAAGCTCAGAAGGGCAAAGTCTATAAGAATTGGGCTCGCCCTCATTCTCACTTTTAGGTAGAGGTAGCTAGGGTTTAAACGGGCCAACCCTAATAAACTCGATTATATGTTAGGGTTTCCTTTTATGAGACCCAACCGTAGTTTTTAGGGCTAAAAGGCCGGCCCTCAGAGCCTCGGCCCTATTTTTTTTATTTTTTTAATTTAAAATTATAAAAAATATATTTATAATCATAAAAAAGTTATTATACATAAAATTAAGTTTAAAAAAATAAATTTAAATCAATTTACACCACAACAGTAAAAAAACTTAAACATTTAGGTCTAATATCAAATAACAACATCAAAGTTAATATCAATAAAAATTAAACTTAGCTAATATTTTCAACTAAATTTTAATAAATGAATGAGGGATGGATGAATGCATTTAATATGTTCATTTATTTCAGTTATATATTTAATCTTTTATTTTTTTATATTATAATTTTTTAAAAAAATAATAAAAAAGTTTAAAAAGGCTGGCTCTTTTAAACTTAAATTACCATTTTTTTTTAAAAATAACGGCCCAACCTTAATTATTTTCGAGCTTAAAAAAATTAGCCCAACAGATTTGATCCTAATCAACAGTTCTAGTCACATCCATGGCGGGCCTAGCGATTAATGCTTGAATGCATGGAACATTCAGACCTACCGGGCATTTGGACGTTTGTTTCTGGATATATGGATCCTTTTTTTTTTTTTTTTACTTTTTTTTTTCATAGGTTTGAAAAAGCAAAGTTGGTTTGAAAATTGGAGATATTTCATTATACCCTATGAGATGTACGGGAGAATTATCTTTAGTTTGATGGCAGGTGGGGAGAGAAAAGATATTTAATAAAAAAATGACGTAAGAAAAGAATAGAAAAAAATAATTAAAAACTTTTCAACCTCATTTCTCTACTTATTTTTTTAAATAAACATTATCTCCTAAGCGGCGTGCCCAGAGACAGACTAGCCTTAGGAGTTGAGGGGGCCAAATATGAATGTATGTATATATATTGTAAATTTAATTTTATTATATTATCTATAATTAATTTCTTAAAACTAATTTACAACTTAGAAATATCATTAAATGATAACTATGTATGATAGTATTTCAAAATACAAAATGTCACCATACATCTAATATATTATTTTCAAGAAAAATTTTATACAGAATATATGTGTGAGTGAGTGTTTATATTTTCAATTAATTTTCATATGTTATTACAAATTGATGATCTAAAAAAATATAATTGATCTTCAAATTTTATAAAATTATAAATAAATATTTAAACATTGAAAGTATATGTTAAACATAATATTTATAAAATTTTATGTCATTATTTTTAATAATTTATTTTTAAAATAGAGTATATATTTAATTTTTATCTTTTATTTCTCTATCATTATTAATGTCAAAATTTATTTATATTTACATCTTATTAATATTAATTTTCAATTTAATAAAAAATAGGATAAAAATTTAATAATATAACTTATAAATAAAACAAAAAAATAATGTATTATCTTATAAATAAAATAAAAATAATATTACATAAGCGTATATACATTGCATCTAAATGACCCATTATGAGAAAATGACCATTGGGTGTTGTGTTCGTCATGTTATTGTACATAATTCCACAGCCACATGGTCCCATGACACTGACTTAATCACAAAAATGTGAGGCACCAAACATTTTAGGTAGGGGTGTTCAGTCTAGATCCATTCCGACTGGCTCGATATCGTTTCGATTATATCAGGACGGGTCTTGTCCCGGCCTGAAAATAATCGGGACGAGACTTTACGGGACGGAACAGGAAAGGAGTTCGGGACGGGACGGGACATGGAATTACCATCGAGACGTCCCGTCCCGTCCCGAATATTATATATATTATTTTTTATTTTAAATATATTAATTATATTAATATAATTTATACTTATATTAATTATATCAATTATAATTTTAATAGTTGCAATTCTTATTTAAAACTAAAGTTTTTTTATATTGATAATTTTAATGGCATGGAGTAAACATGGCGATATCTTTCTTTATAATATATTAATTATATTAATATAATTTATACTTATACTAATTATATCAATTATAATTTTAATACTTGCAATTCTTATTTAAAACTAAAGTTTTTTTATATTGATAATTTTAATAGCATGGAGTAAACATGGCGATATCTTTTTTTATAATATATTAATTATATTAATATAATTTATTCTTATATCTATCTATTTAATAACTTTTATTTATAACATATTTCTTACTTATTTTTGGAAGAGTAATTAGCTTAGTACATCTTCATTAAAGTAGAAGAACAATGATTTGATGTTGTCTTTGACTTGCCTGTTGTTGCTAATCTTATAGCATAAAGATTACTTATATTTATTATTATAATATGTAGTTGTGATTAATATAATTCAATAACTAATTTTAAATTATTATTATTTATGTGCTTGTGTTGTTTTGATTTTAAATTTAACAAATTATATGATTTAAAATTTTAATGAATGTTATTGTCCAGATCTTTTTTCGATATTATTTCATTTATCAGGATGACGGGACGTCCCGATCTTGTCCCGGTCTCGTCCCGACTCTTAACGGGACGGGACACGGGACCAAAATTCAGTCCCGATCTTTTTTTCGGGATGAGACACGGGATGGGGTGTCTCGGTCTCGTCCCGTCCCGTGAACACCCCTAATTTTAGGCCCCACAGGTTAGTTTACTTGTTACGGTGATATGTGAATAAAAGACAGACCGAAATAATTTGCCATTCTTTTCAAATTTATTAATTTAATTTAATCATAACTAATGGATCCAACCATGGCATGATCTTCAACTGCAAATCAGTCTCTCACGATTAGTTTAATGTTAATGATAGTCTTGTTGTTTCCATTCTTAGTTTGTCTTTTAACATCATGTTTTTGTTTTTGTTATTTTTGGGTAATAACAGTGTCACTTCTAGTTCTACTTATATATATATATATATACACACATTTAAATGTTTAATTATTCATGAGAACTTTATTAATAATTAAAAAAAAAATATAATTTTAAATTTATGTACTTTGCTTATATTTTAATATTAATCCTTACTTTTTTTCAGCATTTTAAATTTTTATACTTTTATTTTTTAATATTTTAAATCACTCCATAAGTAAAGTGTAGGAATTTTGAAGAGAATTAAAATATTAAAAAATAAAAATTTAAAAATTTAAAATATTAAAAAAATACGAGAATTAATAGTAAAATATAAGTAAAATAAAAGAATTTAAAATTATATTTTTTTAATAAAAATTGACAAGGGGTGCACTAAATTCCAAAAAGTTGGTCGGTAATTAACGGCAGTCAAGAACGTAATAGTAATACTTTGTGATGGCCCTCGTTTTGAATTTGATGATGGCCACACGTGCTTCATGACCTTGCTTCAAACACCGAAATAATTCAAAGAATGGTAGTTAGGTTTTAAAATATTAAATTAATAATAATTAAATTTTTAATAATTTTTTTAAAAATAAATTAAAAATATCAATTGCATAATTATAAATTTAAAAATTTTAATTATAAATAAATATTTAAATATCAAATGTAATTCTTAAACTATAAGAGAAATTTTTGCTTGTAATTGTTTAAATTGATACTTATACTTTTTTTTAAATTTTGTCAAGAACCTAACTATCATTCTTTCCAAAAAATGTCCTGCAAATATAACATAGTTAATGACTTTGAGATGGCTAAATAATAAAATAATTATGTATTTATATATATATACATGGTAAAAATGAAATTAATCTATCTATATACTGAATGATTGGTCATATATATATAATATTTTATTTTCCACTGGATAATTATTGAACCCAAAGAAAATCAATCAAGAAATTATGTATATTATTGAAAATCAATCAAACAAATATTGGTTTAGTTGGTAAGGATTTGTCCTATGACTCACAAAATTATAAGATCAAAATATTTTTTGAACCTAGAAGCATATACTGGTCCTGATGAAGCTCTGACATCCAATTCATCTAAAAATTTTATTTAAAAAGGGTTGAGTTTTTAAAAGGGGAGCCTAAATCCTTATGGTACAATAAACTAATATTTAAATCTCTATTAGGAGAGATGATTATTTAAAGTTTTACTTTATCTTGAATAAGATTGCAACCTCCAAAGTATTGAAACTAACAACTAAGCCAAGTTGGAATGAACTTCTCTTTAATTTGTCATTTATTTTTTTTAAAAAAAATCCCAGAATTTAGATGTGCGTACATAAATAGAGCTGCTAGTCCAAGCATAAGAGTTGTGCAAGCCATACCTAAATTAACTAAAGTCTCAGTCTGTCATTGTAAGTATCACACCACCATGGATCTTCTTCCTCCTTCTTACAGTGTTGTTGAATCAAAATGGGCGCTTTCGTATGTGCTGGTGGCCATCATTGTTAGCTCAGTATTATTCATTGAAAAGCAGAGAAGAAGAAGCAGCAGTGATAATGATGATGAGCTTAAGAAGGAGAAAGCACCAGAAGCCAAAGGAGGATTGCCTCTGATAGGTCATCTTCACCTTCTGGGTGGTCCTGTCCCAGTTTTTAGGACTCTCTCATCCATGGCTGAATCCCACGGGCCCATCTTCTCTCTCAGGCTCGGCTTCCACACCACCTTGATCGTCTCTAGCAGAGAACTCGCCAGAGAATGCCTCACTACCATCGACAAGGTCTTCGCCAGCAGACCTAACATCGCCGCAGGTAACTCTTTCACTTTTATCCTAACTCTTCAGTTTACAAACTCGTGAATAACTGCGATCAATGGGCAGGAAGGTACATGGGATACAACAATGCGTTCTTTGCTCTGGCACCGTATGGAGAGTACTGGAGAGAGATGAGGAAGATTGCCACGCTGGAGCTGCTTTCATCTCACAGGCTTCAGCAGCTGAAGCATGTGAGAGACTCTGAGATACTATGTCTGGTCAAGGATTTGTTCTCAACCCACCGACACAAATTAAGGAATCTCAGTGACATGGTTGAAGTGCCTATGAGTCAGCTCCTGGAGCACCTGACCTTCAATATCATCGTCCGCATTATTGCTGGCAAGAGATTCTCAGGTAATTATTTAATTACTAATTCATTAGCATTCTATTCCTTATCATCATCATCGTGACTGGTTGATGTTCATCATGATCAGGGGACGAGAAAGACCTTAGCGATGAAGAAAACGAGGGGGGGATATTGAAGAGGGCGGTGAGGGAGGCAACGTATCTGAGCGGAGTGTTCGTGGAAGCCGACGGATTGCCATTAACGAGCATGAGCAAGTGGGTGGATTTTCAGGGACATGTGAGGGCCATGAAGAAGACAGCCATGGACATCGACTCTGTGCTTCACGAGTGGCTCCACCAGCACCTGCTCAAGCGAACAAACCATGCCGGTGAAGACTTCTCTGAAACCGATTTCATGGACATCCTGATCTCCACCTTCTCCGATCCCGATGAACGCATTTGTGGCCATCCACGCGACGTCGTTATCAAGGCCACAGCTCTGGTATGGACGTCCTGTCTTTATTCATTATAATTTTCCAAATACAGTGTTGGGAATGTGTCAAATCCTTGTTGGGAATACGGCAAATGCCATGCTATCAATATATATATATATATATATATATATGTATTTCATGAATTTTTTAAAAAATTATCTTAAAAAAAAGAAAGAAAATTTTATGTTTTATAAAAATAATAAAATAAAAAATAAAAGATTTTATAAAAATATATCAATTTCAATTTTAAAAAATTCGTTCCCATATATATATATATATATATATATATAATATGGGGATTCTTCATGGGGAAAAACTGACTTATGTGGGGAATATTCGTGTAGTGCTACATCTTGCTGTCTCCTTCCAAAACACACACACACACACACACACACACACACACACACACACACACACACACACACACAGCCTCTGAGCCTATTTATAAAAAAACCTTATAATTAAATAGCTTTGGAGGTAGTGTAAAATATATCCAAGGCTTTTCTTTCAATATTCTCATATTTGTCAATAGTAAATCCTAACAGGTTTCATGTTTTGCATCCAAAAAAGGAAATAAATAGTATGTGTTAATTACCTATACGACAATCATGTTGATATAATACTCCCTCTCTTTTAAATTATAAGAAACTTTAGGGGTGGATTTGACATCCCAAATATAAGACATTTTTTAAAAAAATTAAAATTTTATTAAATAATTTTATTTTAATATTATGCTTTCTCTCTTTATTTAATTTTCATGTATATCTATTTTAATATATTAAATAAAGGTTGTTAAATATATTTAATGAAATTTATTAATACGTAAATTTTATTTAAAAATGCCTTATAATTAGGGATTAAGAAAGTACTATACAACTATATTCACATGATGTGCAAGAAAGTGAAAACTTCCACGGATTCACAATATAATTACAAGTTATAACTAAATATTTCAACCAGCGTTTATATTTTATATCCACAGAAACAATTATTATTTTTGAATTTACATTAAATATTGGTTTCAATAATAGAGTTTTTGGTTATTTTTTTCCCCCTTGTGGCCTTGCGAGAAAAGTTAGGAATTAAGTAAGGTCCATGGGTAATGACTGTCCATTTCAAAAATGAAATGATGAACTGTTCTGTCTTTTCAAACAGCTTGACTATTATTTTTTTGAAAAAAAAATATAAAACTTATAAAAATGTTATTCACGCGAATTTCGTTCGTTTGAATAAACCACTCTTAACAGTTAAAATTTTTCAAAAAAACTGTATTTAATTTTTAATTTTAATATTTAAATTCTATTAAAATTTATAAAAAATATTTAAAAAGAAAAAATAGTTACAAAAATTATCATTAATGATTAGATTAGAATTTTCTTTTAGCAACACAAATCAACATGTATAGATGATAGATCTCAAAAAATAAAAAATAAATATAGGTGGTATATATTAACAGTAAACTGTTTTAGTGGCAACGTTACTTTCATTTTTAGAAAACATATCAGGCTTGATTTGACATTGAGATTTGTTTGTGTGCACGTTTAAATTGATTATATTGTATCCAAACGGCCATATAGTTTACCACTATAATATAGTAACACAACAATAATAATAAACTTTGAATTACCACATGCAATAATGGCTAATTAATGGCGGCGGCTTCTTGTTCTTGGTAGACTCTGATCCTTACAGGCACAGGAAGCACAGCAATAACCCTAACATGGGCACTGTCTTTGCTCCTAAACCATCCACGTGTCCTAAAAAAAGCACAAGACGAGCTCGACAGCAACGTAGGGACACACAAATGGGTACAAGAATCTGACATGAAGCAGCTTCAGTACCTTCAAGCCATCATCAAAGAGACACTTCGTCTCTATCCTCCAGCTCCATTAACTGGAATCAGAGAGGCCATGGAAGACTGCTTCGTGGGAGGCTACTACGTCCCCAAGGGGACTCGTCTTCTCATCAACATCTGGAAGCTTCACAGGGACCCACAAGTGTGGACCAACCCTGACGAGTTCGTGCCTGAGAGATTCATGGAGGATCATAAGGATCTGGATTTTAAGGGACAGAACATTGAGTACATTCCGTTCAGTTCAGGAAGAAGGTCGTGCCCAGCCGCCAACTTTGGGATTCAAGTTGTGAGCTTGACGCTGGCTCGGTTGCTTCAAGGGTTTGATCTGTCGACGACGACCAAGGATGGTGTTGCAGTGGAGATGAGCGAAGGCTTAGGGGTTGCCTTGCCTAAGCTTAATCCACTTCGAGTTATGATCAAGCCTCGTCTTTCGTTTGAGCTTTATCAGCAACTCTGAAATATATATATATATATATATATATATGCATGCATCATGCATGGCATAAGGACTCCAGCTTACATAAGTAGATAAAATAAATAGCTCACCCGCTTAGCTGGTGGAGCTAATTAATTGAGTCAAGGGTAGTAATTGTGCGTGTGATTGGATATTTATGCTGTTTGGTTATAAATTTTTCCTTAAACTTATGGTATTAAAAGCAAACTGATTATTAAACCAGTTAACATACTGATTCAGAGTCAAGATAATCATGGGTTAAAACTGTAATCAAAATATGATTAGATTAATCATGATCAAACAAAACATTTTGTTGAATTTGTCAGGGACTAGTTTAACCGGGTGAGTTAGCCTGATTTTCAATATTATGCTTTCAATGAAAAAATAACTTTAGACCTTTCTGTGATATGAAAAAACATAAATGTAGGGATAATGTAACTTTTAATCACTTAAATTAGAAAAGTTATTGATTTAGTCTCTTAATTTTAATTTTTATCATTCCTTTCTTTAACATTTGCAAATTAGTGCTCTAATTAAGTTTTACAATACAAATTAACCCTAAAAAACTGATGAGTAAATTAGGTTATTGATGTGGAATAGAGTTGATTAATCAACACACGTAAGTTAAATCTTCTAGCCCTAATTGCTAATGTATCATGGTTTTACCATTTATAATTCCTAATTTAATTTACATGTTTTTCTTGAATATATCTTTTTTTCTTATCTAAGTCAGCATTCTTGATTCTCACATTATTAATTTATATGGTTTGACACACATCATTCTGATAGCCAAGTTATTTATTAAAATAAAAAATTATAATTTTTTAATTAGATCTAAACAATAATTTGAATATTTCAAATTTAGTATGCATAGTCCAAATTTAATATTAAATTTTTTATAATTTTAATATTATATTTTACTATTCAAAATATATCTTGATAGTTAGTTTATAAAAATTTTAAAAATTGTTAAATTAATCATC